TTAACCGATCTAGTTAATTGTATGTTCTTTTAGAAATAGATGATTATAGTACATATATATTCTTTTCTGAAACATCTTGACGAGTATATGCCAAAATATATTATCAAGAGTGAATCAAATTATTTCAGTATTTTCTTTTGTCCCACCGTAATTCCACAGTGCCTCCATGGGATCCATTTCATTAACTGAATATTGGCAGTAGAGAAGGCAACTGCTTCCAGTCTCACAAAGTTTCTTAATGTGTTCTCATAATTCCTCTATATGATCTTTCTTTGAATTATGGCCTTAACGTCAATTGGGTGACAGGGTATTCTACTTAGCCCAGGTTTAGCATTTGCTGTGAGGTGATCAAGACAGAACAGTAACACCCACCAGTTTTAATGTAGCACCACTCCAGTAACTTGTATCCAGATGTATAATGATCATATCTACTCGACAGGAGGAAATAGTTTTTGAACCACAGAAATAAATAGGAGAACCCACTCCTGGTTCAGTTGAACTCAAAGCAAGGAAGCTCACGGCATGTTGTTGACTACTGATGTTGTCATTATCAGTTTAGTTAATGGCACAAGACCAGTAAACCTGGTGTATCGTGTTGACAAGGAGCAAGGAGACTTACAGCTCAGATATCTCAGGACAGCCATTCTGTAGTTATGAAGGACAGGATTCAGGCAAAATGTCTTGGAGTCTGGATTGTGTCCGTCATTTTCTGGAGCATTCCTGGACCTGAATCAATTTCCTCAAATTTTAAGCCATGTTCAGTCAGTTGAACTTTGTTTCTTGAGCTGACAGATCCGAATTGACAAAACAGCAGTTTATGCTAATCTACATGTGATAAATAGACTATGCAATATTATAATACAGATGTGTTTTTTCATTATAAATTTGTATGGTTTTCATGGCAATAAGTTATTACATATTAATATGTACCTATACTTTCATATATGAATTTCGGCTTCTTTGAGCAATAAGTAAACTGCAATTCAAGTATTCACATACACAAAATGCTTCATGAAAATATATTTTGAAATGTTGTGGTAAATAGATCCCTAAAGTAAATAGAGAAAAAAAAGTATTAAAATTTTAATGTTTTGCCTACTAATCAAAATGTTCTTTATAAAGCTAAAACCTCTATAATGTGATAAATGTTTGATAATTGGCAGCCTTGTGTTTAAAAAAATATTTGCTATAATTACATTTTCCTCTCATTTGGCATTTTCTCTCAAAACTATTTTACTTCTGAGGCTAGCTTTCACTTAATTTCCATGGTGTCAAATCCAGCAACTCTTTCCCACAACTTCTGGAGTAACTGGTTCCTCAGAAGTATACACCATTTTCTTACTCAACCCTTTTCCACCCTCTTTTCCTGCCTTTGCTAACCTCATACTCTCCTGATTTTCTCTCTGTCTTACTATAACTCCTATTCCATCTTCTTTTCTGGGTCATTTTTCTCATCCTTGCATGTTGTCTGTCTTATCCTCTGTCCTTTCATTCTCTAATTTTTCCTAGGAGATCTCTGTGCATTGTCTCCTGCTACTTTACTACAAATGAGGAAAAAGAAATTTGAATTAGATCACATACTTAGTGCTGTATGGTCAGGTGAGCAGTACAACCTCATGGGATAGGGGAGGTAGCCCTGCTCTTTTCCAGAGATGTTTAAAAATAAGGTATCCACTATGGACTCTTTATCCCAGGTTCGATAGGTACTGGTGACTTGGCATGATCACAGGTGCACATTCAGGTGGTGGAAATTAAAGGAGGACTATTTGTAATTCTCACACTTTAGGATGGTAACTGACAGTAAAAGTTGAAATCCGTTTTGCCCAATGGAAGCAATGTGCTAGCATGTCAGTAAGCAGCAGTGCCTCCACAGGCCACTTCCACTGTGTGGAAAATCCATGATGAATCTACAAAGATCTCTGTCTTGCCAGAGGCCAAACCACCCTGCTCACTGTATGAATATTGTTTTAACCATATTCCCCTGAATGAGGTACAATAAGATCAAACACAGTTCAAGAGTGAAAGACAGAGAAAGATTTTATTATGCTCACAGATTCTTGGAGAGAGCACAGCACACTTTCCAGGACCACTCAGGTCAATTATGAGACACAGAGAGAAAGTGGAACTCTGGAACATGAAATCACCTTCATTGTGGTTTCCACAGGAAGAAACAGGTAAGGCAGGGTAAGTAGCGTTGGCTCACTTTGTTCAAATGTGATACACCTGCCAACTACGTGCTCGCTCTGGAAGTCTCCAAATGACATGGGTTAATTGAAGTATATTTAGAAACAGGCTAGTGGTCATTTTGTAGATATTAAATGTCAATATACAGAAATTTGCAATGTAGTTCATGTAGCCAAAGGGTGAGTTTATGGTTTTAGGTTAAACAGGAAGCAGGTCAGCAAAACATAATAAATGTTTCCTCAAGTTTCTCATGCTTACAGTAAGTTTTCAAATTGTAAAATCGTGGAAAATGATAAAATTTTATACTCCCAGTACCAATGATCATAGTCAATAAATTGAAAACATTTAATGAAATTTTATCTAAGAATGTTATTTCTTCTTTCCCAATTAATTTCTCTTTCTTTTTCTGCATTAGTAGGATTTCCAGTATGATGTTAAACAGGAGAATTTACAGGAAGCAAAACATCTTGCTTTTTTTTTAGTGTAGTGGGAAAGAAGATACTTTCTCATCACTAGGTATTAGTATTTTCTAGATGATCTTTAACAAGTTTAGGTAGTTCTTTTCTTTTTTTCTGAGAATTTTGTCATTAATGTTGTTATTTGTATTATCAAATGCATTTTTGTATCTATTGATATAATTTTTCTTCTTTTGACTGTGGTTTGATAGGTTACATTAATTAGCCTTTGAATGTTGAACTAGTCTTGAATACCCAGAATAAATCTCACTTGCTCATGATTGTAATTCTTTTACACGCTGATGGATTTGATTTTCTAATCAGAAATTTTGGGAACATTTATATCCGTATTGACGATAGTTGCTTCTTTCTTATAATGCCTGGCATAGCTTTAGTATCATGGTAATGTTGATATTACAGAGTGAGTTTGGCAATATTCCACCAGCTTCTTTTCTTTGAAAAATGGGTAGAGATTGGTATAATTTTTCTATGAAAGGTTTGGTGGAATTTGCATGAATATATCTGCAAATGTGGCCATGGAAGGGCACAACAGTAATTGGCATATGTGTTAGAAGGTATTGTCGGGTCCTGAACAACTGGCAGTGTTAGGAGCTAGCTTAGTATTTAGGCAGTTAGGGAGTTAGGGTAAAAGTCAAAGGGTGGTGGTAGCTGTAACGTGCAGGAATGTGGACGTGAATCCAACATTGGAAGGGGCAAGAGGGAGTTGCCTGGAAACAATGCCCAAACCAGGGGCAGTCACCTCCACCTATCAGAAAACTTTCCAAGTTCTACCCTATCTCACAAGCTGCATAAATACCCTGAGCTCATAGCCTGCTGAGGTTTGGACTGCTTTCTTCTAATCCTTCTTACATGGTATTGTCTTCTTTCTCTTCCCTTCAACTCTGTTGCTTTGCACCTCACTGTTGAGTCTTGCTGGTCTTTCTCTGTTTACCTTTGGACAAGAACCCAGGTAACTCCCTCCCTCCTGCATCAGCAGTTGTTGGAATATTCCATATTTGCTCCATGATGTCCCAAATTTTAATAAGGTGGTCTGAGATGAAAACTTGTTTGTTTCTAATTAAATGATAAAAGTTTGAACCTCTAAAAATTACAGAAAATAAGTGCGATTAAAAAGTCTCTCTAAAAGTTACTACATTTGGAAAGTTTTATGCTGCTTTGCACATGTGTTTCAAAATGTTAAAGTTTAAAAATAATTAAAACTACTAAATGCTCTCAATATTATGTCATTTTTCCAGGAAATATTTAATGGCCTAGAAATTATTTAGTGTTTTCTATATGTAAGTAAGCCTTACTTTGCATGTGAAACATTTAAAAAGATTAAGTATATAAAATCAGTATTTTAAACTTAAGGTAACTTGATAAACATGATGTTAGATTTTTCTGAGAAACTTGATTTGTCCATTGTTTTCCTCATTTATTACCTCTATTAGTTCTTGGGAGTTAATGCAAATTGATCTTTCTCAGAGGAGAAACTCTTTAAAATTGGTTTTAATTAATTGACTAAGAAAAAAATGTCTAAGGAGACATTATAAAAGAAAAAAGAACAGTACAGTTGTAGCCACTATAAAGGGAACCACTACCCACCAAGGTCACTACTGTTAGTTACTGGGCATACTTTGATACCCAGCACTTGATCCTGTATAAAATATGTGGAAGTTCTGCTTTTATCTGCTGAATATACTTATCCAAAATGTATATTGCAAAATTTCTCATGAAGAGGCATGAAGTGCTACCCATTCCTCAACGTCCTCACATCTGACTCCTCATGATCTTTTCAGGTTGGTTCCCCTCTTACTTCTCTGGCTGATAGTGCCACAAGGATCATTCCTTAGTTCTGTGCATCTCTGATCCTGCTGGATGGAAAACTTAGGACTGGTGGTCATCCTTCCTGTGTGTGCCTCGCCTTTCAGAGTACATGTGGTGTGTTTCCTTGTTCCTCAAAGGGCTAGAAAATATTGACCAGTAATACCTGATAACTGCTGCTTTCCTAGAGTTGAGGACTGTATCTACTCTTACCACAAAAGTGTTTAGAGAATGGCTGTTGTCATCTCCTACCACCTGCCCACAGACTTCTAACCACATGCATCAGAAGGAAACAAAATATTCAACTTATACAGACTAGAGTAGGCATAATTGAGGGAAAATATTTTTATTTCTTTTCAGAAATGGACACAAATTTGGTGCTTTGCTTCTTGTCCTATGGATTTAGCTCAAGTACAGTGAGAGCTGCTAAGCAGGATGGATTAAAGGTGAAGTTTCTAATCATCAGTAGCTAAAATGTCTCCAAAATTATTATCCACACACAGGTCCTTCTAGCAGAATCATGACAAAACCTCCATGCTAATATTCATCATAAAATGGATAATTAGGGTGGCCTTCAAACCTACAATGAGAAAGAATAATGCGTGACGTATTGGATCATTCTGTTTCTAATGGAAGTGACTTTTGTGAAGTTGCCATTACATGAGAATTTTTTATCATTTTTACATTTACTTACATGTGTATACATTATTTGGGCCACCTCCCCCTTCTCCCCCCACTTCCACACAGAACCTATTCAGCCCTCTTTTTCTCTGATATTGTTGAAGAGAAAACATAAGAGATAATAAGAAAAACATAGTGTTTTTTCTAGTTTGATATAAAAATAGCAATACAGAGAAGTTCCTAGCTTTGCTTCCATGCTCGTGTGTATTGCAACCCACATTGGTTCATCTCTACCGGACATAGTCACTACTTCCTGGTCCTCTTCCCATAGTGGCCTCTCCCAGTTTAAGATTACTATATTTGTTCCTATACATTGAGCATATCAACAATATTCAAGTTTTAGGTTTCCGTCCCTTTCCCTATTCCTCCCGTGTGCATTCTTCCCTTAGTGTATATCAATGTCCAATAATATTACTGCATTCCTTTAAGGTCTATAATCCACATATGAGGGAGAACATGTGATTTTTGGCTTTCTGAGCCTAACTAACTTCACTTAAGATGATCTCCAGTTTCATCCATTTACTTGCAAATTATAAAATTCCGTGCTTCTTTGTGGCTGAATAAAATTCCATTTTGTATAAATACCACATTTTCTTAATTGATTCATCAGTAGTGGGGCATCTTGGCTGTTTTCATACCTTGGCTATTCTGAATAGCACTGCAATAAACAAGAGTCTGCAGGTGCCTTTGTAATAACCAAAGTTGCATTTCTTCAGGTATATTCCTAGAAGTGGTATTGCTGAATCATATGGCAGATCTATGTTTAGTTTTTAGGAAACCTCCATATTGTTTTCCAAAGTGGTTGTACTGGCTTACATTCCCAGCAGCAGGTATGAGGGTTCCTTTTCCCCACATCCTTGCCAACATTTGTTGCTGGTGGTGTTCTTGATGGCAGCAATTCTAACAGGTGTGAGGTGGAATCTTAGTGTGGTTTTGATTTGCATTTCCTTTATGGCCAGTGATGGTGAGCATTTTTTCATGTTTTTTTGGCTATTTGGACTTCTTCCTTTAAAAAAGTTCTGATTAGTTCAGTTGCCCACTTCTTTATTGGTTCATTGATTTGGAGGGAGTTTAGTTTTTTGAGCTCCCTATGTATTCTGGTTATCAGTGCCTTGTCTGATGTATGGTTAGCAAAAGTTTTCTCCCATTCTGTGGGGGATTTTTTCGATTTAGAGAGCATTTGTTTTCTTGTGCAGAACCTTTTAAATTTCATGCAGTCCCATTTGTCCACCCTTTCTCTTAGTTGCTGGGCTGCTTGAGTTCTACTGAGGAAGTCTTTGCCTATACCTGTTGTTTTCAGAGTATTCCCTCCTCTTTCCTGTACTAACTTCAAGGTTTCAAGTCTGATATTAAGGTCCTTAATCCACTTTGAGTTGATACTAGTACATGATGATAGGCATGTATCTAGTTTCAGTTTTCTACAGGCAGATAACCACTTTTCTCAGCAACATTTGTTGAAGAGGCTGTCTTTTTTCTATACAACATATGACTACCAAGTCAGCACTACAGAAGATTATACAAGGAATTCTGCACACAGAAGATGAAAGGAAACAAAAACATGAGAGGCCAGGAGGTACAAAACTGCAGGAGAAGAAGACAAGTAATCAGAAAGGACCGGTGATTTGGCTGCACATGATCAAATGCCTTAAACAACAAAAACATCTAAATGGCATGAATCACCACATACGTATCAATGTTAACACTGAATGTCAATGGATTCAACTCCTTCATCAAAAGACATGGTTTGGCACACTGGATTAAAAAGGATGATCAGACAATCTGTTGTTTACAAGAGACCTAATTTATTTACAGAAATAAACACTGGCTTAGGGTGAAAAGCTGGAAGAAGATTTACCAAGCCAATGTTCCCTGAAAACGGACAGGGGTAGCAATACTTATATTGGACAATGTAGATTTCAAACTTACATTTGTCAAACGAGACAAAGAAGGACACTTCATACTAATAAAAGGGGCAATACATCAAAAGGAAATAATTATCAACATATATGCACCCAATTTCATGAAACATACACTAAAGGATTTAAAAGCACATATAGACTACAACACAGTGGTAGTGGGAGACTTTAATACATAGGTCATCCAAAAAAAATCAACAAAGAACTCCTAGAACTAAATGACACCATAGATCAAAAAGTGAGAATTTAAAAGTTTATTTCCTGGTGAGTCATAAAATCTGCCTTTCTTACTTTAATAAACTTGACTTTGTAACAGATTTTTAAAAAGCAATAAGGAAATTATTCAAATTTTTTTCTGACCCTGGGACTTAACACACAGAAAACTCAGAGTCAAAAATGAAAATGTTACATCTGTCAAAAAAAAAAGAGATGATCATTCCTTTTCATTACAAATTTCCAATGAAAGCAAAAACTGTTCTGCCTTGCTTTGAATGGAGACAACTACAGATACATCTTGGCACTAACAAATACTTTGGGGCAATACAGGTGACTGCTAGTAATTTCATTTATTTATTTACTTGTTTATTAGTAACAGTCCACCACATAGAACATGTTGTATTAGAATCAGAAATAAAAAGAATGTCATACATAAAGTAAAATTCTGTATCTAAGGAGTTTACTACGTAAGATGTCTATTCAGTAATAACAAAGACACAAGTTATATAGTGATAAAAATAGTTACCTACTAAAAAATTAATAGGAGTAAAAATTACTGATGATTACCCCTCAATCTCTTTATACAATGTGCCTACCCTATTTTTCCTTTTAATCTACACTAGTAAAGTATTAGCAATATTTTGCCAATATATTATTGTTAAAGATGACCAATATATCTCCCATTGTTGGTTGCATGCAATTGTGCATTATGCTAATCCTTTTCCGAACTTTATCATACTTTTTTCCATTATGAATTAAATTTTCTACAAATATATATTTTCCATAAAAGTATCCATATTTTGTTTAGCCTCCTTTATATTATATGTCCTTTTCCTAATTCTATATACTTATAGATGGCATGAAGGAAGAGTAACAATCTTTCATTGAATACAAATTCTCTCCAATTAAGCCTCTCTTCTTTTTTTAATTTTTATTATTTTTTTATTCATATGTGCATACAATGTTTAGGTCATTTCTCCCCCCTTCCCCCACCCCCTCCTTTACCTTCCCCACCCCCTCCTTTACCCTCCCCACCCCCTCCCTCTCCCCCCACCCCCTCGCTATCCAGCAGAAACTATTTTGCCCTTACCTATAATTTTGTTGAAGAGAGAGTATAAGCAATAATAGGAAGGACCAAGGGTTTTTGCTAGTTGAGATAAGGATAGCTACACAGGGAGTTGACTCATATTGATTTCCTGTGCATGTGTGTTACCTTCTAGGTTAATTCTTCTTGATCTAACCTTTTCTTTAGTTCCTGGTCCTCTTCTCCTATTGGCCTCAGTTGCTTTTAAGGTATCTGCTTTAGTTTCTTTGTGCTGAGGGCAACAAATGCTATCTAGATTTTTAGGTGTCTTACCTATCTTCACCCCTCCCTTGTGTGCTCTCGATTTACTATGTGCTCAAAGTCCAATCCCCTTGTTGTGTTTGCCCTTGATCTAATGTCCACATATGAGGGAGAACATATGATTTTTGGTCTTTTGGGCCAGGCTAACCGCACTCAGAATGATGTTCTCCAATTCCATCCATTTACCAGCGAATAACATTTTGTTCTTCTTCATGGCTGCATAAAATTCCATTGTGTATAGATACCACATTTTCTTAATCCATTCATCAGGGGTGGGGCATCTTGGCTGTTTCCATAACTTAAGCCTCTCTTCTTTATAATGTCTTCATTCTCTGAAATCAGATCTTTGTATTTCAGAAAATCAATACTAATTGTCCTATTGACCATTTCTAAACAGACATTCTTGAAACAAATGCAGTGTTTGGGTTCTGAACAACCATTTAGTGAAAAGAAAGTGAGGAATTTGAAATTATTAAAGGTATTAAAATGATAATATCCAATGAAAAATTTTTGACCTGGGTCACAGGGTCCATGGGGATGCCTTTGATCTAATGATGTTCTTAAAGGTTTTAGAGAAGACAATATGAAAATGATTATTAAAAATATTTAAATAGGCTACATTGAAATACTGAGAGTGTAAATCCATAGGTACATGAAAAATGAGAGGCCTATGTGGAAGATGTAAATTCTGAAATCGTGTATTCCAATCAAGTACATTCTGTGGAATAAGTGCAGAGGTGAGTATATAGCAGATCAAACTGAACTTGGAGCCACTCATCCTGTCAGAGAACAGAGTTCTGAGAGAGTCTGGGAAGAGAATTCCAGAAATCGCCTATCTTATCCCTGACTTGCACTGGCCTCCGTCTTCCTCATATTGAGGCAACTTTTATTAGTCATCTCATATTCTTCCTCAACTAATATATTGAGAAAAATATATTTGCCAAGTTACTTACATAAAGCCAGCAAAGTACCGCAAATTTCTGTTCAGGCCATCTAGGACTTTCATGTCCTCTGTAGGTAGCTGGAATTCAAAAACCTGTCACACAAGTAGAAAGTTTTTATTATACTTAGGGAGTATGTTTACCAATCTGTAAATTTGAAATGAATCTGACTGGCACAGAGATAATACTTAAATGTCTGAAAAGTTTTCAACAGTTTAAAGACATCACCAAACAAAACATTCAAGTGAATAACAAATACTAGGTGAAAAATAAATAGAAATACATTCCTATGTATAATATATTGAAGCTGCATAACCCTGGAAACAAAAGAAGATTTCAAAAGAAGTCAAAGAAGAAACAAAGCTAATATGATGTGTCATGTACTGAAAGGATCCAGAGAATTTCAAAGCCAAACTTTTGAATTATGTAAAAGAATTGAGTAATTTTCATGGATACAGTTGAATTTCTGAGTCACATCAATGAATAGTTAAAATGTAAAAAGTGTAATTTCACCATAATTTAAACTGGAAACTGTCCAAAGTTAATGATGACTGAATGGTTTAAAATATTATGTCATTTTGACCAGTTTAATCATAAAAAATATGGGGACTAATTAATAATATATTGAAACAAATGGCCCATAAATCCTTAGTAGTACTCTGAAATAATAAATACAAAGATAGAAAAAATTAAAAACTGATGAATCTAAGTAAGAGGTATTTATTGTGTAATTCCTTAACCTTTCTGTATATTTGAAATTTGTAAAACAAAACAAAAAATACTAAATCCAAAGAACTAGCTTGATTACCAGTTTTCCATGAATAAATTCAACAAACCATGTATAAATTCCTAAAGAGAGAAATTTATAAAATTTATTGAAATAAATTAAAGATCATCTAAATGACTAGAAATTCCTATCTTGATGATGGATTAGAGACTTTGATATTATAAAAAAAAGTCTGTTGTCTCCAAAATGATGAGCAGTATCATACAATTTCAAGCAAATACTTAAACACATATTTTAGGTAGAAGTTCATAAATTCTAAAATTTACATAAGAGAAAATTCAGTCAAGAATAGCCTAGTTATCCTATATAAGATAGGGAGTTAATACTGACTAATCTGGACAGGAAGACTTTTTTTTGTCAACATGTTTAAAATAGGAGAGCAAATAGATTAATTAGCAACAAAATAAAGGAAAGAAATACACTTATTGACACTGGGGAATTTGGTTATAGAATTAAAAGTTTTATACGTGTTTATATAAGCATATATGTGTGTACACATTTATATTTTTCAAGTACTATTAAGAGAAATTCCAGCTAAATTGAAGATCATACTTGAAAGTAAAGACCATGACACATTTAAAGATAATGAAGAAGAATATTTTTCACATAGGAAAAGACAAGATGCTCATCAATAACAAATAATTTGATTACATTAAGAAAATGAACTTCTGTTCATAATAATATACAGTATGAATAATGAAAAAACAGTGTTTTGACAGATATATTTCCTCAAGTTTACCTGAACCTGAGACTAATTCATATCTAGAATGTATGAATGTGATAGACTGACTACAGAAATGGCTCTCAACACATCACATCATTCTGTGTCCACACTCTTTGTTTTGTGAATGTACAGCTTCTTCCATTCAGAGATGGAAGAAGCTAATTCTATACCCTTTTAATCTTGGTTGGTCTGAAACATGCATCGGCTAATAGACACTCCCAGAAGCAATGATTGCTTGTTCTGAGCACAGAAATGAAAACACTTTTCAAGAATTAGCCATAACTTTGCAATTAATTGTACAATGTGATGAGGCAAAGCCTGGGCTAGTTGGCTAGAAGATGAAAAACTATGCAAAGATGGATGAGCCAAGGCCAAATTTCACACCATAGAATCATGAGCTTAATAAGTGACTTTTGTATTAAACCTGTACATCAGGGGTGGGTTGTTTCAACTACAACTCTTGTTAACAGTAAAAATGGCTTCATAATTGAAAATGAAAAAATAATTTCTTTAAATGGGTAGGACTTGAAAGGGTGCTTAACAAAAGATGAAATTGAAGGTGATAAAATACAAGACTTTAAAATATGAGTGTTCAGGAAAATACAAGATAAAACAAAACTAACTTGTAGACTGAAAATAAAGAACAGATGTCATAGTGCAGGGTTAAGAAATAATTGCTGAGATAATGCTGAATCCAACTTTGCCAACATAGTGCTAAGTCCAAAATCTTTGAATTAAATCCTAATTCTTTGCAGCCCTATAGGCAGCAGTGCTAGTATAGAATAGGAGAAAACCCTTATGAATGCATATAAAGCATACTGGCATAGGAAATGTATCACATTAGCCTAAGATGTCTTGAGAGCCAGCAAAGAAACAACTCTGAAGGCTATAAACATAAGAGTCTGACACTAAGACTCCTCATCACCTGCATGTTCTCTTTGATCCGATGTTCTGTGAAACTCTTGGCCAGGACCACAATTCCACGCTGCAGCTGGTAGCGAAGGGCAATTAGGGCTGGAGTTTTCTTGTGCTTTTTTGCCATGTCACAAAGAACTGGATCATCCAAGAGAACTGGTGTGTTCTTGTCAACACTGGAAAGGAAGACAGAAATTCTGAATTCCTGAGGCTGTACACTGTGTTTTTTAGCAGGCACCCAAAACATAAGGTTGCCCATATCAGTCCAAGATTTCTCAAATTATCATCTGGGATATTCTCAGGAATGCAAACCCTCCCATTCCCAGACTATTGAGAATGAACTCCAAAAACCTATCGTAGAACTAAAAATTTTTTCATCAATAATTGTGTCTTCAGAGCAATTTCTTTTGTTGTTATTACCAATGTTTATATCGTTGAGTTCCTAGCGCACCATAGGCAACCAGCACAATGTCTTTTGACTTGCAGAAAGATAGCAGTTTGCTCTGGTTGAGATAAGGATGACATTCAACCTGCAGCCAGAAAGATAGAAGGCTATCAAAATAAAATCCTATATTCATATAAAAAAGACATGTCAAAATTTAAAGAAGTTAATCAAAAAACGTGTTATCAGTATCAGGTAATGATTATTTTTTAAACAAAATTATATATATCTGTTGCTGGGAAGGATAAAATTCAATAACATTCCTGACATAAACTAACCCTATGGACCAGATCTTAGATGCTAAATACCTGTTTCCACTATGAGGAGTCATAATGAGTTACAGATGTGGGGCTGAACACATTCATGAGGAATGAACTCATTGAGCTTAGAATATTGAATAGTACAACAAAGAAATATTTTGATCAAAGACTCATGAGGTAAAGTGTGGAGGGCAAAAGAAACAGTTTGATAGAAATCTTGCTAATCATATTTTGGTAGATTTCAGCATCAGAAGAATAATAAGTAAAATCAGTCCTAATGTGTAGAGTTTAAAAAAAAAACATCACACAGTAGTAATGGTGACAGAGGAGAGAGAGAGGACCAAGGAGAGGAAGGAAAGAGAGAGCACAAAAGTATTGCCTCTGCTAATTTCACAACATTTATGATTAAAAGAAAGAGATTAAGGTTCACTTTATGTTATAGTAATAACTGTAGTTTGTTTTGACTTTACAAGCAAGTTCTTTTACATGAAAATGTCATATAAGAAGAGTAAACTGAAAAGGAATATTGTTATTTATAAACTATAATGCAATAACTATTTTCGGTAAAATCATTGACAGATTCTCAGATATTATAAGAAAATTGTTAAAAAATCATAACATGTCCTGTTGAAAATTATCACTCACCAGGTTGCTAGTTATTTCAATGAAGAAAAGCTGAACTTTACTAAGAAGTGATTTGGCTAGGATGAGCTGTACCAAATAATTAAAACTAAAGTCACTAACAGTGGGGCAAAATGTCATTCCGTGGTAATTAGTTGGGTGCAATTTGAGAGTCATAGCATACTAAGGACATTTTCTTGGTAAGAGTAGTTAACATTAATGTAATAAAATGTTCAGAGTTAACTTCTAATTTATAAAAAAATGGAATTGACAAAAATATCTTCCATTAAAATACAAATCTGATAAATCTAGAATACCTGATAATTCCTTACTAAATAACACAGGGGAAAAATTGGTGACCTTTAGAGGTTAATAGAACTCGAGAAACATGACAAAAAGTTGTGTGAAGCACAATTATACTCAGGTTAACAAAGAAGCACACAGTCATTTTGGGAAAGCAATGGGAAATTTGATTTTGGACCAAATGATAAAATTATAGGAGGGAATAATTATTAATTTTCTTAGATCTAGTGCAGCCTCATGCACTTACCTACATTAGAAAACATGGCAAAAATCAAGAATTTTGGATATAGTTGGAAAAATATAAGTGCTCTGTACTATTCTTCCAAATATTCTATAAGTTTGATTATGGTCTTCATAAAAATTGGTGTAAGGCAGGTATCAATGTCACATGATAATCTGACATTTATATGTGAAAATCTGATGCTGTATCATTATATACTGACCACACAAACGTGTAAGGGTCCATTCAAGGACCCTCGCTCTTTGACACTGCAATAAAGTGACTCAAATCCTTGCACAGAATATATCTTCTTAAACCATTGATTTGATGACAGAAAACAAAGAAGAGATTGTGATGTTGTCAGGCACAAGTTTAACTCTATATTTTTCACAGTCTCTTAGTGTAGATTTCATCCACTATTAGTATCACCATAAACAGGTCTTCCTCCCTTTAATCTGGTGTACTTTCATAGTTTCCCCTTAATTTGTTCTATAGCTACACCTTTGGTCTAGAACCCTAAAACCAGAGATAGTAAGACAAAGGCCTCAACCATCTAAGACTCACACAAGCCCTTACCACTGATGTCTTATTATCACTCCATGCTTGTTCATTGCTTACTCCATGGTTTCATGGCCTTACTTAATAAACATCCATCCATCCAAAGCAATTACACTGACCCAATCTGTGGTCATCTTTCATGCTTTAGGGATAAGTACAACTTCCCTTTGAGGTGTGATTAATGACTACAGCCATACATGATTCTTTTTGCCTCTCCAAATTCTTGCATGTAACTGAGCAATATGGTCATATACCATACTTTTTTGTTATTTTTTTACCAACCAAAGACAAAATTGAGTCCTCCATGTCCTCCAAGCAAAGGCTCAGTTCTTAGCGTTTTCTGTTCTATAAAATAAAGATGAATGGGGGCAGACCATATGGACACCTTGCAGTTGTGTAGAAAAAACAGGATGAAGAACAGAAGGAAAAAAGATTGATAGAGTTCACCTGGTTGCAAACAGGCTTATACTTGAGCCCTGGCTTGTTCAGGATAATCTCCAGCTGCCTGCGGTTAAAATTGGACACCCCAATGGATTTAGCCAATCCTGCATCCTTACACTCCTCCATGACCTTGGAAAGAAAAAAGATTGTGGAGAATGATTTATGTAGTTGGCTGCAGATTGATATAAATACAAGATTGTATTGTTAAAAGGAACACTGTCAAGCAATGAAAATGAAGCTAACTAGAATTAATTGGTAAGATGACAAACGCTAGTAAAGAAAATAGGGGAAAGAGATAAAGTCAGTAAGAAAAACCATTCCTGTGCTCTCTTTAGGAAATCAGAAAGCATACTGCATTTGGAGAAAAAAAAATATTACCATTATTTTCCCTGATCTGTCTCATTCATTCTTCTGTTTTCCATTACAGTAATGCATTCCTCCACAGACTTTAGAAAAACAGTCATTATAAGGATCATTAATAGCTATAAGAAAAGGTGCTCATTGCTTTTTCACATGTGGATCTCCCTCTCTCAACTTCCTCTGTGATCTCTATTGTAATTATTTACCTCCCAGGTGGCACAGAGGTCCACTGTGTCAAGTATTAATTTTCCATGTTCATCTGTTGGATACATCTCATCCCCTGGCTGGAATAGAAGCAATCATTAAATCAGCTCACCATATTCATCTCTCTAACCATAGCAACTAGGCAAATCTATGTCTGGGAACTAGACCTCTGTAAAATAGGTGAAGCAACATTTATATATTTTTTTCCAAGTGTTTTGCATGTCTATTTGTATGGAGCGTCTTTGGGTGATGAGCTTCTATTTTCTTACGTCTATGATATATATTAATAAATGATACAAACTTAGGCTCTTATGGGTGTCCTAGTTGACTTATGCTACATTTCATACCCATATGCTTTCTCCTGTGACAATGACTGTCTTTTGCTGAGGAACTCAATAGATACATGGCTCTGATCTTAGGCAATAGTGAGCTGCAATAGTTACCTAGTCTAAACAATCACTCCTGGTATAAAAGAGTGGTTTAGTCAGTCAAATGAACAAGTGATGGTTACTCAGGAGTTTTTCAAGATAAACTTTGATCAAGGAGATACAGAAAAGATCAAATGTTAATAACCACAAACTTGAACTGCCTCGAGGGTATATTTGCCATCAATGGAAGTGGCTGGGTTAAACCCAAGCAAAACCTCTAATAATAGATGAATGAGGTATGGATAAACTGAGAGAGACATTTCAGAAGATTACTACTCATATGTAAACCCACCCTTCGCTTTGATCATCTACTTACATAATGCAATTCATCTTTTTCATAGGTTACCTTGAGTAATTTTACTATTTATGTAAATAAATTGAGTTTATATGAATTTTTAGAAGCTTAATTCAACTACCTATAAAAATTATCATGCTAACAATTAGATAGGTAGATATTGCAAATTACTTACCCTTAGAGACACTGGGAAATGAATAAGATAGAGGTCAACATAATCCAAATTCAGTTTTTTCAGTGATCTTTCCAAGCTAGGTTGAACCAGCTCTTGTCGATGGCAAGTAGACCACAGCTACAGAGGTTAAGGAATGGAAGTTGAGCTGAATTAATAAATTATCAAAATTGGGGCTTTCTTTGCCTAATACTGAGATTTTTTAATTAGTTAGAAACTGATGACCACAGGAAATGTATGCCCTTCTATCCTGATTTTCCTTCCATGAGATCAGTTTATATAAACTCTCTTATATGTGGGATTGTTATTAGTAAATCTGATCAACAATAGAAGGAAATCACTCAAGATATAAAAATTATCAATAACAAAACTGTATTATCAGAATTATGTTTCACTGAGATTTTTTATAAATCAGTTTAATAGTCTAATTATATCATCCATTCAACTTGATGGGGAAGATTATCCCTTTTTTACATTTCTGAAGGAAAAATATTTGGAACATTTTAATATATTCTGGATATAGTACAAAACACTTTAATTATGTCTTATTTAACACCTTTATAATGTTCACTCTTCTTGGTAAAGATGACAATTGTATTTAAAATGGTAACAAATTCTAGAAAATCACCCAGGTGATAAGGGAAGCCATAGAAATACAGTTCATCTGATCCCCAGTTCATATTCTAAATCACATTGCCTTGAGCTGAGACTCAGAAAGCAGAGTCTTTACATTAAAGTTACAAATTTAGAGACAGCAATATTAAGAAAATCACCATCTTCTCTGTGTTCAATATTGAATGCAGGATGTAAATATGTGTGAATAAAAATGTTTCAATATGACAATTTGCCAACTACTAATTTAATCATGTAAATGTCACTTCAACACATCCCATTTCATTAATTTGCAGACATGCACACCGTATATCCAATACCTTTGAAGTGAGGAATATGTCTTCTCTCTTCACCGTGCCATCTGCAATCTTGCTTTGAATGGCCAGTCCTACCTCCTCCTCATTTTGGTACAAATAAGCAGCATCAATATGGCGGAACCCAGCATCTATAGCTAATTTGGTGCAGTCTGTAATCATTCTCTTGGGAACCTAGAGGAACAACCAAAAGTAGTATTAAGAGAGCTGCATGACTGAGTTATTTCAAGCCCAATCAGTGACTTATTTATAAGTGGCAACCTTTCCGTATGTCTTGGGCTAATTCTGCATTTGGGGTGATTAACACATGGAAGCTTGCCTGGGTCTGTCCTACCTACATGACCAGAATTGGCCAATGAGAAACTTTTTAGTTCCAGACAATCATGCCTTAATAATTGGCAATGGACGTCCTCACTAGCACCCCAGGGTCAATGATTTGCTACAGGGAATCACAAGACTCAGAATATAGTTACAGCAGTGATTATTATTTAGAAGTGAGAATGAAAATTAATTAATACAGGAAAAGGTATGTGAAAGGAAGATTTACAGACATCTGTGAAATCTAGGAATCTTCTCCCAGTGAAGTCACTCAGAACATCCTAGAACTTCCCAGGACAGAATTTAGAGAATACATTGAAACATTGTTTTCAAGGAAAGGTGTTTAGAGATTCAATTTCTAAGACTTTGAATAGAGGCTAGTTACATATACCTCCTCTGTTAACACTCCCCAAAATTCCAATCTTCCAAAGGAAAGCAAGTACACCTAAACCCCACTGCTTGTATAGCAGTTAGGTACAGTCACTGTCCACAATGTTCATGAAGTAGTGAGAAATATAAGCTCACAGGTCTCAGCAGCTCTACTTTGCTTTTAGTTTTTTCAGGTAAGGTCTCATGGTAACTTTGCCTGGGATTACTTCAAACCACGATCTTCACTGTCTCTGCCTCCCAAGTAACTGGGATTATGACTTACCCAATCATTTGTAAAGAGCTTTTTTTCTGACATTGGGGATTGAATCCAGGACCTTGAAAATTTGTTAGGCAAGTTCTGTACCACTTGACATGACTGCCCTCACCTTTCTTAAGTCTAGATTTTTTGAAATTCTTTTTTGATTAACTTGTACTAATAATAAATGTTGAGTGTCATATTTCCACATCATGCAAAAAGTATATACTGATAAATCATTGTAATTAGTATTTCCCTTGCCTTATCACTTCTTTATATTAAAAGATTTTGATTCTTTTTTTCTGTTATTACATCTGTTACAAAATCTCCCTTTCACAACCCTCACCTCTGTTCTTTTTCCCTTATAGCTTGTCATTACTATTCTACATTCAAGTTGCCCCATTTTAGGGCCCACTTTTGAGAGACAATATGTGGTATTTGCCTTTATATGTCTGGATTATTTCATGTAATGTAATATTCTCCCATTCCATCAATTCCACCGCAAATTATAGTATTTCATTCTTCTATGTGGTTGAATAATATTCCAGAGTGGTGTGTCTCTCTGTGTAATACATCCCTTCATAGATTTGACAGCACAGAAGTTAATTCATATATCAACTACTATGAGTAGTGCCATAATAAACATGGAGCTGTAGGTATCATACATACTCAGAAACTGGCCAGCTGGATGACATGGTAGATTTATTTTTAATTTTTAAGGAACTCATGTGTTGTTCTCCATAATTTATGTACTAATTTACATTTTTACCAACAGTGTGTAAAAATTCCTTTTTCTCCATAGTCTAGCCAGCATTTGTGTTTGGTTTTTTTTTTTTTTGGTTTCTCATATTAGTCATTAGGGTGCAATGATACCTCATTGTAGTTCTGAATTTCAAGGCATACTGCAGAGCCATATAAAACAAAGTACCAGCCCTGCCAAAATATCTCAGTTGGAAGAGCATTACTGAAAACACAGTATCATGGTTTTGGCATAGAAACTGACATATAGACCAAAGGAACAGAGATGACATCCCAAAATGATTCTCAACAAGTTGATCAAAATCAAACATTGAAGAAAGGACATCCTCTTCAATAAATGTTGCTGAAAAAGCTGAATACTCATATGCAGAAGATGGAAGTTTAGAAGGGTGAATATGGTGGAAATGTTATGTACACATTTATATAAATAGAAAAATGAGACCTGTTGAAACTATTCCAGGAATGGGGAAGGGTGAATAAAGGAAAATGTGGTGGGAAGGAATTTAACTATGATATAAGAACTTTTCTAAGTGTCACATTATACCTCCGTACAATAACAAAAAGATTAAAATTTGACCTCAATCTCTCATCCTGTACATATGTCAACTCAAAACTGAATCAAAGACCTTAATGTTAAACCTGAAATGACTTCAGAACATCAGTATAGGCTATTTTTCATATGTTTCTCCCAACACAGAAAACAACAATAAAAATAGGCAAATGAAATTTTATCAAGCTGGGAATTTTCTGCATACCAAAGGAAACAACAGAGTGAAGAGACAATCCATGGAATGGTAGCAAATATTTGCCCATCAATCATCTCACCAAACATTAATGTCCACATCATATAAAGAACTCAGAAAACAACCACAACAACAAAGTAGCACAATAAAAATGAGCAAATAATCTGAACAGAAATTTTCTATAGAGAAGTAATACATGCCCTATGTCATTATCAGGTAGTGATCTTAACCATTAGTTTTAATTTTTCTATCTGGTTGAGAAATAGACTGTAACAGAAGGAGAAACCAATGCCCAGAATAATCAGTGTCTGACCACACTGTCAGGTCCTAATGCAGAACTCAGTCAACTGCTCATTTATCCATGGGATGACTCCAGCCTGGTAAAACAGAGAACCAGATGAGTTCCCAGAGTCACACAGGAAATGCATGACTTGAACACCCAGGTCAGCTTCCATTCATCCTAACTCTATTTTCTTTTGGACCCTCAACCCCAGCACCACCGTTGTTACCGTTTCAGATGCATAGGTGCCAAAGCCCAGAACAGGAATGACGTGCCCATCATTGAGTTCCACACAGCGATGTTTGGAATCCATGGCCTGTCACTGCTCTGGGGAAGCAGATTCTGTTTCTTCCTTCACAGTGCAGTGAAAAGGTCGAAGGCCTTTATAACACTAGCTGTGTGAGTAATGAGGAGCCCCAAAGGCATGAGGGAGGAACAATGTTATAGTAGCAGTTCACGTGTGAGGAGAGAATTGGCACCAGCTCAATTTACAGGAAAGAGAACTCTTCAGAAAACTCCTACATAGCAATCCAAAACTACCTGTTTTTAAGTATATTTTTCTTTAGAGTCTTTCATGTATCATTTAAATTTTTAAGTCAATAGTTATGGACCATTTCTAGCCTAGAGATATCCAGTTACTTATTTTCTTATTGAATTTTACTACTGATATGATAAATCCCCTTTCCAGTCATACTTTATTTGAAACAATGATCTGTCTTACACAACATACACAACCACAGTGTATGGTCAGAATTAGAGAAGAATATAGAGCATTTTTCAAATTTTGATCTTTACTACAGGATCAAAAGCTAAAATTGAAGGAAAATTAGACTTTTAAACTTTTCAATTTGCTAAATATGTTCTGTATCTTCTTTAGTGCATTTAGTTAGAATATCCAGTTAGGGTTCAGCCCTGACATGTATGCAATAAAGCAGAGCATCCTACTGTTTAGTGGAAGATAAATGACTAGTAGGTATTGAAATCACTTCGTGTACACATCCATAGACTCAATGTTCATTAGATCCCTCATTTATTATATTGCTTTTAGAAATGTATCACTGTGCAGGAAAGCAGAAATCACTTAAAAATTTATTATCTTGTTCAACGCTATTCAAAAAATGAAAAAGTAGAAAAATTTCAGTTTACCATAATTTTGGATAATTTGGTGAAAACTGATGCAATGAAATGTGATGAAAAATGAAATGAACAAATTTATATTAATGCAGAACTTTAAAAACGAAGGTGAAGACTATCAGTATGGTAAGTACTGATAGAAGAGATTATTCTAAAATGAAAAATAGCGTATGGGTTTGCACTGCATTATAAAAGAAGGAGGTACAAATTGTGATTCTTGAATGTGGAAGCATGAGATGTTTTTAAATATCTGTTTTTGCTTTTTAATCTTTTGGAATTGATGGTTTGCACTTTAGTAATGTGAAAACAGTGGAAAAACTCTAACCTGGGCAATTGGAATAAAATGGAATTTTCTAACAAGTGTCCAACACTGTGATCTCTAACACAAAGTGATTTTTCTCAGTGACACTGACTTCTTTCTTTGTCCATTTTTATTTACCCACTCACAGTTAAATTTCTGCTAAACCCCAGTGATCAGATACAATTCTGGATTAAATAAATCCTGATTTACCTCTTTACCTGGGTTGCATTTCCTGGACAATTATCACTATCTAAACTTTCTTGAGACAAGAAACTTCTGTTTGAATTTATGCCTTGCAATGCTTACCTCCTGGCAGTCTACTTTGATGTGATACTACATGCTCATCTGTACTTGAATGGACTGGACACTGGACCAGAATCACTTTGCTTCACATATACTACACCTCACAATCGAGTACATTCTCTCAACATCCTTCACTGGCAAACTCTGCTTCTTTTTCCCTATTTATTTGACTCAAGCTTTCTATAGGTAGCTTTTGTAAAAATCTTCAATTATTTTCTAGGCAGAATTATCTCCAGTTCCATATAAATGTGATCAAGGTGCCCTAGTCATCTCCTTCACTTTCTGTTTCTGTTATTAACTTCTATATTTGGATATTCAATACATCTTCCTCTTTCTGTAGTTCATGCTTTCAGGAGAAATAAAGACTTGGAAAAGATAATTCATTCTATTTTCTCACTTCAAGTATTTTGGGGTTCAAGGTAAACTTGATGGACAATTTAAATTAGAGTTAGTGAAAACACAAGATTACAGCATGAATAAAATGTTGTCAATGAGCAGACATTTTTATTAAATGGAGAGTTTATATGAATCTACATGGAAAATTCTCAGTTGCTTATAAGATGAATTCCAAAAAAACTCTTCTGTGTCTGAAATACTGGTATTCATCTAGTCCATGTTACATTGAGATTTATTTTGCCATGTACATGAGTAAATCACTCTGCTAATATCTCTGAGAGATAAGTGAGTTATCCCTATATTGTGGAAATAAATTTCATCCACAAATTTACATGGATAAAATGTAAGCATACTTTTTCTTTCAGTTCTGAGGATTTAACTAGGGCTTCACACTTCCTGAGCAAGTTCTTTACCACTTGGATTTCAGACAGTTTTGGACTTTTGCCTCCCAAGTAGCTGGGATTACATTTGTGCTCCAACACATCTGGCTGGTTTTTCATTTTCTTGTATTAAGTTTTATTGACATCATCTCAAACTTGTTTATTCTTGGAAAATGCTAGGAGAAGAATCTGCTGTTTGATAGATTAGAACTAAGGCCTTGGATTGTCCCTCTGGTCCTGAGTACATGTATTCACTGAGACCCCTATTGTCCCAAATTGTTCGGTCTTGTGGATTCCCCTGCTCTGCATATTTGTGATTGCCTCTTCTGTAAGTGTGGCTCCAGGTAGAAAAGGCACAGTTCCTTCCTGGAGAGCTCAACATCTAATTGGGGGTATAGAAGAGCAAGAAAATTTAAAATGCCATGTTATAATTTGATAAACATTAAAGATGTATGGATGATGCATTGTAACTTTGCTGGGAGAAAACCCAGACCATCAAAAGATTCTTTTCTCATTCTCCAAACAATGGAGACTTCCTTACAGTGTCCTGAAGATGTCATGACACAAGCAAACACTAAACAAAGCAAAACACAAGATCATTGACATTCATAACCCATACTAGTCAAGGGCAGTTGTTCAACTCTGATGAAGTGTTAGTGTTATTTATCTTAGTTGGTTACAAGCTTTTTAAAGCTGCTCCAAAAAACTGGTTATGTGAATAGCAATATAACAGCAAAGTGAAAGTTTTCAAAAATGAAAATCCATAAAGCAGATAGCATTCTGGGAAATTATAAGAAATGTTTAAAGAAGAATTGGGACCAAGTTTCCCAAGTTCTTCCAAAAATGAAAGGTGCCAAAGAATTTCTAACTAATACTTTGAGGTCTGGATTACCCTGGTACCAAACTTAGAAAGTTTCTGTAAGAAGTGGAAACTACAGGACAATATGCTTTGGAATATCTATGGGAAAATCCTCAACCAAATACTAGTATAAAAAGTAAAGGAGCATGATTAATTCCCAGAATCCAAACGTGATTCATCAACATTTACTCAGTGTGACACACAACATTAACTGAATAGAGAAGAAAAAGAACACGTGACCTTTTCAATTGATGCACAAAAACATTTTAAAAATTCAGCTTTCGGGTAAGAAACATTCAACAAAAGAAGAATATAAGGACCTGCTTCAACGTAATGAAGGACATAAACGAAAAACCCACAAAAATAATATATATATTAGTGAAAGACTGGAAGATTTTTCCCCTAAGATAAGGAGTTTGACATAATGCTTATTTTCTGTTTAACAAAATAGGGAAGTTCTAGCAGGAGATATTGACAAGAAAAAGAAAAACATGCAATATGGAGAGAAAAAATAGAATTATTTCTGAGCACAGACCACATGACATTGCATGTAGAAAACCTCACACATTCCTTACCTATTGATCCCTTGCCTCTTTTCTAGTAATCTTTCTTCTGCTGTCAGATCACCTTTGTCGTAGATTCAGCATATGAAAGAAAATTTGATACTTTCTTTGCTTCACAAAATGATCTCCAGGTATCTCCATTTTCCTGCAAAGAACATTTCACTTCTTTATGGCTGCATAACCCTCCATTGTGTATATATACCACACTTCCAAAATTCATCCATTGATAAGCATCTAAGATAATTCCATAACTTGAGTGTTTCGAATAGTGCCATAGTAAACATGAGTATGGAGATATCTTTATTGTATGATGACTTTGATTCCTTCAGTTATACACCCAGGAGTGGAGTAGCTGCACCATATGGAAGTTATAGTTTTTAAGGAAATGCCATATTAATTTTCATAGTGGCTGGACTAATTTATATCTCCAACAAATGAACCAAGGGTTTGTTTTTCCCCATCCTTGGCATTGATTTTTTTTTTATTATTATTCATGTATTTTCCTTTTTGAGACAAGATCTCACTTTGTAGCTTAGGCTGGTCTTGAATTTACTATGTAGCCCAGGCTGACTTCAAACTCAGGATACTCCTGCCTCAGACTCACCTGATTTTTTGCTTTGTGGATGATAATTATCCTGACTGGGGTGAGATGAAATCTCAATATGTTTTATTTACATCTCTTATAGTTAAAGATGTTGAATTTTTTAAATATATCTACTGGCAATTTTTACTTCTTCTGTTCAGTTTATTTGCCTACTTTTTGAATAGATTTGTTGTATTTTAATGCTAATTTTTGCCTGGTTCTATATATACTCTGAATAAGTATTCTCTGTCAGATGAATAGATAGCTGACAAAAATTTTCTACTATCCTGTAGGCTGTCCCTTCACTCTGGTAATTGTTTCTTTTGCTGTACAGAAGCTTGTTAATTTGACACAATTACATTGATTACAATTATAATTACAATTAATTACAATTATAATTACAATTACATTGCTGTTATCTGCTGAGTCATTAAAGTCCTATTCAGAAAATCACTCCCTGTACCTATATCTTGAAGTATTTTCCTTATGTTTTTATCTAGTAGTTTCAAAATATTAGATCTTACATGAAGGTCTTTGGTTCAAACTGACTTAATTTTTGTGGAGGTTGAGAGATAAGGATCTAGGGTCAATCTTTCTTATTTGGACATCCAGTTTTTCCATTTGCTAAAGACATGCTCTTTTCTCCACAGTCTGTTTTTGGTACTTGTTTAGGATCAGATGGTTGTAGTTGTTTAGTTTATTTCTGACCTCTATTATATCATTTGGTTTATATGCCTGTTTTTATATCAATACCATGCTGATTCTGTTACCATGACTTTTTATAATACTCTTAA